ATGGCTAACGTTAGCTAAATTATCCTGGTTGTCTATACTGTCAAGGAATGGTCTAACATTAACTTAGCTAACGTTAAGTCATGACATATTAACGTTATTTAACGTTATGACATATGAACGTAAATTTACTATCAAAATGTCATCATTAGAACAAAACATTATTGGTCTATTAACTATCTATGAGAACAAAACCTAAAGTGGCTTCAGTTGTAGCGGTTTATCTTTAGAAGTCCCGAAAATGACAGATGACTGAGCTCCCTTGGGTTCCGTTAAATTTTGAATTTTAAAATGTCCGCGCGTGACAGCAGGTGAATCGGATTGGGCACAGGTACCCACCTGGATTCACGTTAACATTAATTAAGGTCAAGGTCTGAACACTTGGTAGACTAAATACATTTAAAATGAATCTTAGTATGAAAGGCAACAACAAAATCTTAATATATACAATAATTTGGTTTGGTGTCTGTTAGAAACATCAACGCATAAAAAGGTCAGATTTATGCGCGAGTGTGTTGCTGGATTGTTGCCATTTATTGCCGGATAAAACAGCATGAAGTCCATTTTCAAGCGATTATTCCAAGCAAGTCAATTAAAATAAGAACTGCAGCAAAATGTATTATTGAACGCGGGGCTGGGGTGTGTTTAAAGTAGGGCTTGAAAAAATGACATTCTACAATATCTACTTAAAAGTCACTGCTTCCCAAATTTGTTTGTATTATTTTCGTAAATATAGATGCCCTGTATTCTGTAAAATCTCATTTTAATTCTCATGAAGTTGGCCAATCATGTGCTTCGTAGCAAACATCGTACCAGCGCAGGACCTGCAGCTATGCTCCATGCCATTGGCGGAGAGAGGCTTTTAATATTAAGTAGGTGGACTATATGAATAAATTAACCAAACCATAGTCTGAGCCAATGGCTGGACCGGTCTCATGACACATATTTTAATATTCATGAGCGCCACACAACCACGCCATAGAGTGGTCGGTCAGTGATTGTGTTGGCTCTGTCTCATTGGACAGGCACATATCGGTGAAAGGACGCGTGTTAATTTATTTGGTTGCGGTTAGAACTTGCTAGAAAATGTCGTCTTTGTACAAGCCGTTCTCCGTTTCGGATGGGCCGTGTAAAGATGCGATTTTGAGACAGGGATGCAAATCGCAGCAGCATCCTGCGGCGCTGACCTCGATTCCGCCGTCACGTCTAGCAGGCAGCGCTGGTGGAGTCGTGGCGAGCAGGTTCACGCCAATTCACCCTATCTGTGCGGGAAAGAGGAGTTTAGCGGCTGCTGCTGTAGGTGGGAGAAAGGTCACTCACCCGGGAAAGGCTATTCTCGCAGGTAAATGCTCATGGTGCGGACAGGCGCTGCTAGCCGAACTACAGTTACTTCTGTGGTTCACCGCACAACAACATTGGCGCCTGTGAGACGCAGCACTGGGTCAAATGTCTGTTTTCACATTGAGCAGCGATGACCAGAGTGTCCTTTTAGTCCATTTAGTAGTCTTTTCACACACTTAAGTACTTTTTTTACGTATGTCAAGATTTTGGCCCTGACATCGTAAAGCTAACGACATTAGCGAGCTGGCTAACTGTTAACGGTAACCTGCCCTGCATTGCCTTAGCTAGCAACCGTTAGCCTTCTGTCATCATCTTCAGTGCTGTCATGGCGGGACATCCCATCTATGGCAGATGACAATGACGTTGTGAAAAGCAAACAGCAGCAACAAAAACATTGTTATAGCTACCTTCCCTAAAAGTGAACCAAACAGTTTCATCTCCCATAGACCATAAACCTGAATACTAGCTAAGAGTATAAGGCAAGAATTACACAGATGGTCCAATAGATATTCACATAACTGCCTGGTAATGAAATGTAGCTAGGGTACTTTACAGTGACAAAAACAGGTATCAAATTTTTGACTTACATGTTGTTTGATTTTAAATTGGCCTTTCTGCTTTGCTGTGCTTGTTAATTATAATCTTTGCTCTCTGTGTAGGTGGTATTGCAGGAGGTATTGAGATCTGCATCACCTTCCCAACAGAGTATGTGAAGACCCAGCTGCAGCTGGATGAGCGGGCCAACCCCCCACGATACCGAGGGATAGGTGAGGAGAATCCCAGCCTAGTCTGTTTCAGTACCTCAGTCAAAGCTCCAGTCATAGTATCCCTCAATTTGAAAAGCCCCAGTCAAGATTTGCTTAAACCAGTTCCGCTCACAGTAGGACTGAATTTGATTTTATTTAGCGCACAGTTGCTACCCCATCAGCCCTGCAGTGATTGCTGACTGGGGCTTTAAAATCTGTCAGCCAGATGTTGAAAATGTGGATTGTAAACTGTGAATGTGTGCTTAGGGGACTGTGTGAGGCTGACTGTTCAGGATCATGGACTGAGAGGGCTGTACAGGGGCCTAAGTTCACTGCTTTATGGCTCCATCCCCAAGTCTGCAGTTCGGTAAGAGAATCAGTTTGAAATGCATCCCAAAATTTGGAATTGGCAACTCAATACTTTGACTTACGCAGCGTCTTTCTCTACCCTCATATGTGGTCGTTGTATATCAGGTTTGGCACGTTTGAGGTCCTGAGCAACCCAATGCGAGATGATACTGGTCGCCTTGATAACACTCGTAGTTTGCTGTGTGGGCTTGGGGCAGGCATCGCTGAAGCAGTTCTAGTGGTCTGCCCAATGGAAACGCTAAAGGTTAGATAAATTTGTGCATTGCATGAATAACTTGAGAGATAATGTTCACAATACTCTGCAACATGACTTTTTTGTACCAAGAGCGAATTACATGCTTGCTGAAATATACTCAAACATTCTAGGGAAAATAAGCTAAGATTAAACAAAAATGAACTTATTTTCTTAATTGACCTTGCTTCAGGTGAAGTTAATCCACGATCAGTGCTCTCTTCAACCACGGTACAGAGGCTTTTTCCACGGTGTGCGTGAAATCATCCGGGATCAAGGTAAAACGTGGAAAGAGTTGTTTCTTTACTTTTACAAAGTATAATTTGGCTGAGTTAAAAAGCTGTTACAGAGTGAGATGCTAACTTGCCACATATATTGTCAGAGATATTCTCTGGTTCAATAACGCATATTGTCAATGTTAAAATAAAGTAGCTTCATAATTATTGGCAGCCTTAGTGAAGCTGGATTAAAAAAAAGAGTCATGGAAAAATGTCTTTCTGGTTAATTAGCTTAATCTCACATTGATCTAACCTTTAAAACCATTAAAGAGAAATAAAGTTTTTTAACAAAAGCTTATGTGCCAATTATTGGCATCCTTAGAGATGAACAAAATGTAACCAATTATATTTAACTTTTTAACGTCTACTTCAGTGTTCATGAACTCAGCCGTCCATGGCTTCTTCTTTCACTAGGATATAAATATCGGGTGACTCAAAGGCCAGATTCCCTTAGTCATTCATCAGCATAGGGAAGATTAGAGAATACACAAATTAAACGAGACAGAAGTGTGATGACCTTCATAAATCAGGAGTGGCTATAGAAATAGCTACACACCTAAACATGCCAATGTCCACTGTTAAGGCAGTAGTTAAGAAGTTTATTGAGGAGGACGGTTCAGGAGACAAACATTTTTCTACAAGGATCACAGTTGGTGACTTGCAGAAGATGGTAGCATTTTGGGGTCACCAAATCTCCATTTAGATGCCACAGTATTTAGACGGCATGCAAACCACATAAAATAAGCACATGGAGTTTTCTAGATGCTGGGATAGCTAGCTAATATTATATCTCCTGTATTGGCAGGGGTTCGGGGGACATACCAGGGGCTTACTGCTACAGTGCTGAAACAAGGGACCAATCAAGCTATACGCTTTTATGTTATGAACCTTCTACGCAATTGGTACAAAGGTAAGAAGAAAGGAATTTAATACCAGATGCAAAATTACTTATTGGACTAATAATGGATTATAATATTTATGCAGAATAAATAATAATAATAGAAGCATGATGTTCTTGGCTTTCTCTCTAGGTGATGACCCCAGGCGTGACATGCATCCATTAGTCACAGCCATGTTTGGTGCAACTGCAGGTGCGGCAAGCGTGTTTGGGAACACACCTCTGGATGTAGTGAAGACCAGAATGCAGGTACATCTCATGACAGTCAGCATTTTTTTTAAGCTATTGCTTTGTCATCATGTAATTTGTTGGTGATTCTTTTCTGTTGTAGGGTTTGGAAGCCCATCGTTACAAGAACACTCTAGACTGTGCTTTCCAGATATTAAAGAACGAGGGCCCTCAAGCGTATGCCTTTTCTTAGTACTCATACCTGTTTACATCTTTTGAACACCAATTAATTACCCATTTCAGCCGTCTAACCTTGCTTTCTCCATGCTACAGGTTCTACAAAGGTACGGTCCCACGGCTAGGCCGGGTGTGTCTGGACGTAGCCATTGTCTTTGTCCTGTACGAGGAGGTTGTGAAGCTTCTGAACCAAGTGTGGAGGACCGACTGAAGAGGGTCAACAGCTAGCTCTATAGAGAAACAAGGGACTATGCTGACACAGTTGGCTGTGTCACTCAAATGAAGAGTGTGAATTTTACCCTGACCCCTGGCTGAGAGCAGTGGATTATACCGCCATCTGTATCTGCACGCTTTATACAGCAGAGTGAGAGCATGAGAGGGAGGAAAGAGAACAAAGCTCATATGTGGTGTTTTGATGCACAGTGTATTGCTGAAGTTTCTGCCTAGCATACCGACGTGTCATACAGTTGCACTTTTTCACTTAATGTAAAACCATGCAAGTGTCTTCACCACCATGCTCTTACTCGTATGAATGCACTTATGTGGCAAAACCAAAAGATTAGAACAAAGCGCACAAGTTCCCATGCTCCCAGTATATATGTACTCACATGGCTTACATTTTTCTATTTGTTGCACTGAAATCTATTTAATGTGTGGAAAATGTTTTAGATGCATATATGATGGTTTTGTACGATCTCAGTGTTTCCCTAATGTCATTTCTGTTCAAGTTTGGCTGTGTGTGGACTTTGTGTGTGATTTTATTTTGCTATTTAGATGGTTAAATAATAATCATTCACAGTGAGCCAAATGTTTGTCCTTTCCACAAATGGAAGACAGAGAAAACAAATGCAAAACAGTAATAAAATATAAAGGACATCAAAATACATCTTACTGGCATTAATGATAAGCAGCCTATGTTCTGCAGTCTTCCACTAAAGCCTTCAGGAAATCCTGTAAGGACAATCTGCCCAGCCCCAATCCTGACACATCACGTCATGTAAAAAGGAGAAGGGAATAACGAGTTTTTCTGAGCTTCACCTCACCTTCTTCACCTTTTATGAGTGTAGACAAATCATCAATATTGGAATACAGTGGCCCCAAAAAGTATTCTGACACTTTAAACACACATCAGCTTTAAATGGTTCTTTTAGTTCACTTTCAAAATGTTCAACAAAATGATATTTTAGTCCAAGAAAAAAAGACTTCTAGCCCAATATCAAAATGAAGGTAGACTGTGTGGTGAAAGCTTGGAGAAGAACTCAAACCAGATTGCACCAAGGATACTGTAAAATAGGTGGAAATGGCTGGGGCTGTTTTTTTTCTTCCAGTGGTGTTGGTGAGAAACCTCCTAACATGAACTAAATACTGTCTTAAATATGGAACAAATGTCCAAAAACCTTTTGGGGCCACTGTCTTAACATGGGACCAAAAATCTAACACATGTGAGTTAGATTTTTTTGTTTGTTTTTTTTTACCCTACTTGACACTTTATTGACAAACTGGCTACTTTTTTGTCTACTTAGATTTATGGGGAAAATCCAATTTTCTGGTTAACTGAGGGCAAAACAACTACAACTGTTTTTATGAGTCAGAAATAGCCAGAGTGCTTAATGAACACTACAGCCTAGTGTCAGCTTCTATTTTTACACCTTCCAAAGAGTGGAGTTACAACATGGAAGTCTTTAAATTCACGTTACTAGCTTCTCAGTTTGTTAGTCTCTATGAATGGAGGGAGTCTCTCAAGGGTAGAACAGACTGCGTAAAACCTGTTTCGTTGTTTGGGATTAAATAATTACAAGCAGTGTGTGTGGGGCAGGGGGGGAAGGGATTACAGAGATTGGACCAGGTCTGCTGGGTGCTTATTTAAATGAGTTAGCACTGCACAGTTTCATTAAGAAAAGCCAAAAGGACGTCATGACAGATTTCGTGTTTCTATCTCTGGGCTGCTGTAGCACAACTCATATGCGTACGCATTGCATATGTTCTTTCAGGTCACGCAGTGCATGTAAGGGCACTGGGTGATTAGGTTAAGGCTCCTCAGAGTAACACAGCTGTCTGTCATCCTGAGGGGCGGGCCACTGGATGAAGAAGGCTGGAGCAGTGAGGCACCTGATTGGATGATAATAATTGCGTAGTGGAAAGACAGAGACTGTCAACTACCTCCTCCATCTGCAGGGAGAAAGAAGAGCATACCAGGTGTTCAAACCAGGTGGTGTAACATGCCTGTGAGTATGTGTGTACGCATGTAAAAGGTTGAAAACACAACAGTAGGTAAGATAATCACTCACATCCGTAGACACTTGTCTTTCCCGCCACTTGCCACTCTCTGACCATCAGGACTCCAGTCTACTGCGAAAACCTGCCACCACACATCATACTTAGTATAGTGTTAAATGTAGCCAGCCAAGTTTAAATTTAGTTTAACAAATACACATTTTCTTCTTTTGTATTTTATGAACTAAGGTCAAATCTAAAATAAGACTCTGACCACAGGCAAGGCAAATCTTTAACAAATCAACATCTCAATAGGAACTCTGGTTCTAAGATAACTTGTGTATGAGAAAAATGAAAGTTTTCAAAAATCACAGTTTTCATGTGCTGTTGTAAACAGAAATATTCTAATGCCAACAGGTTTTGCCATATGGACATTTTTCCTCCAAAGGTCACTGGATTCTCTGAAATATGAGATCATTATAGAGCTGAAATACAAATAACGCTTCATGCAAGCTAACACTGTGGTGCATTGAAATGACGTAAGACTGGCAAACTCACCCCACACACAACCAGCAGATGTTGTCAAATGTGCTACTTTAGTTGCTTTTGCAGTAGAAGCCAACAGTCTGACATTGGCATTAGAAGAAATACATTTTTCGGTAGGCTTATGAAAAGGTGGACAGGCCAATTTGCTAGACACAACTTCCAAACACGCTAATGTCCTGCAACGTCATTACATTAGGCTGTAGCCTATTCCTAACAGCCGTGCAGTCATTACCCTGCTTATTCCAACATATTTCATCATTGGACAATATCATGGTATTCTAGCAATCAACAACAATACTGCATTCACATAATGGATGCACTCTTCATTGTACAAACTATGAAGCACACTTACCACTGTTTACCACAGGCATGTTTGCCAAATGAATACGATTTAACTAATGTTAAGTAAAAATGAAACAGCTGAAATATACAAAGGCGAAGAAAAAACAACACAGCAAACTTAGTCATCATAGGCTAAACCACTCTGCCACAGCAGGCGGACCCAAAGAACACGATATGACTGAAATAAAATCAAACATCTGAGACGCACAAAGATGAGAAAAACAATATAGCAGACTTAAAAGCCTAAATCTAATCAAAGGCAAAAACATATTGCCACGGTGGGCGTTTCAACCTTTGTAGTAAAATTGACAATGACTGAAAAGCTTTTTTTGGCTTTGGATAGAAAGAACACATACTCTACGGGATTGAATCTCACTTTCAAATGTCCACATTTACATCTGGGAACTGCAACCGGAGCTTTAAATTCAAAAACTGGCACACTGATGTGAATTGAAACTCAGCTGAGAAAAAAAAAGGTGAAGCTTGGCCAAGAGCATAACAATCTGATTGGCTATAAGTGACAGCACTCACAGACAACAAATCAAATTACATTATCTTAAAAAACATCAGCTTAATAAACATTTTGTTCCACCTTGACTGGGTAGGCCTGTGATCAATTTGGGCCGGCTCAGCCTATCCAGGCCAAACTATGGCTATGCCCCTGCAGTCTGAGTGGCTTGTGTTGATACAGAGCAGTGCTGAAGCTTAGTAGGAGACTTATGCCTCACTCACAAATGTGCAGATATTTTTTAAAACTATGTATTTTTTTTTCTACCCCCCTTCATTTTCAAAATACACCAGCAGCTCTTCCAAAAATCTCTCCATCCACACGAGAACTATTTGTAAACACAACCTCAAAATGCGTAGGACATCTCTAACGCCATCCTGCTTTTCTGCTTTGGTTTGTTTTGTTGGTTTGTGGTAGAAGCATGTGATGAAAATCCTTTGACATGACGATTAAAGCATACTGCATGACTGTTCTTTTGTGTAAACGAGTACTGACTAATCATTTATCCACTAAGCGGCATGGCAGGTGCTATTCAGTTTCACCAGGATCTTGCAGCCACTTTTTCAGTGTGAGGCTCAAACACTGGTGATATTTGGAGAAAAAAAAAAACAGACAGAACAAAAGGTATTGGGTTTGGACCATATATGTTTACCATAGGGTGCAGCGAAAGCAGCAATTAAAAAAAAAAATCATCATTTTTCTCATACAGAAAACCAACTTAGACCTGGAGTTCCTCATATGGCTATGACACCGACTACAGAATGACTATGATTTGAGAGGTCTTTATGTGATGTGCTGTCCCCGAACCTCTCACCTCATCAGCATGGCCAGGCAGATCCACATTTAGTTTGCCTGTCTTCACATCCCAAACCTTCAGGGTGCTGTCACTGCTTCCACTAACTAACAGGCGGCTATCTGCAGACCAAGCCACTTGGTACACGGCCCCCACATGGCCCCGAAGTGAAGTCAGGTACCTGCAAGCAGGATATGGCAGAACATGAATTTCCAATTTTCTGTTAAACAGAATAATGAGAAATCTGAAATACTCTAGAAAGAAATTTCTAGTTTCTTCTGTTTCACAAAAAGCCACGATCACATTATGGATTCACTGAACATCAACAGAACTTCAGTGCCCTCTGCTGCATTCCACTGGTAATGCATGCCTATAATCTCCCATCAATTTACGAGGCAACATCTATTTGATGCTAACCACATCTTAGTGTTTCCCACTGAAACTTAGGAAGAGCTTGTTAATTAGTTGTTAATTATGTGTGTTAGAACATGAAAAACAAGATGCATGAGGTGGAATACCAGGAATACCAGGAATCTGCATTATCCATGACGTTGCACAAAAGATACATGCTTACAAGAATTGTGAAAGCACTTACTTTATACATTTAATGTGTAAATAAAGCATTGAGATAATATTGTGAGGGCTGGGTTAACTTATGTGAAACTGTGATAGCAAATTCCAGAAAGAACTAGCTATTAACAAAACATGACAAGGGCTGGCCAGAATAATTCAAATACTCAAGTATTTGTTTGTTATGCTGGCATTTGTTTCTCTATTAAATACTGTAATGTTCTTTTTTAAGCCACATAAAATGTAGCCCAAGATCTACAATAAATTTAATCAGTACAGATCTATAGTTATGGTTAATAACTATAGTTAACGTTAAGGTTATAGTTAAAGGCCTAAAAGACATTGTTAATATATTAAAGCTAATTTCATTTATTTACACATTTTGAACGGTAGAATCAAAAGTATGTAAAATGATGGTTGATTATGGAAAATAAATGTTGCTTCAAAGGGTTCTTTTCAAAACGAGTATTCAAGCACTTGTTTGGAAACAGGAACAGATATTCAAAGCCTATGAAATACCAGCCTTAAAACTGACCAATTACTGCTAATTTCCATTGCCTACATCTAAAATTTCAAAGTGTTTGTTTTTTCAATTTTTTTTGCTTTATGCATAAATCCCTGAAGGTCTTACTTGCCAGTCTTGCCATCCCAAATTTTGATAGACTTGTCAAAAGAAGCGCTGGCAACTAGTCGTGTGTCAGGGGAGAAGAGCACCTCGTTGACCAGCGCCTGGTGTCCAGTCAAGCGGGCAACAGGCTTCTTCTCCTCTGCTGGGTTCCACAGAAACAGTGTGAAGTCATCAGAACCCGACACCAACCGCTCAGAACCCTCACCCTGCGGATCAGACAGAATGCTCACATAAACCGAACAAATGTGAAGCTCACAAGTAAAAATAAATAAATAAATAAATATTAAAAGACGCATTTGTCCACTTACTCTGACTTTGTTATATCGTTTCAAAGCTCCCTCTTTGATCTCCTCCACTGTGGGATACAAATAAAACAACATGAATCGAAGGATACTTTTGGGTTTACATGAATTCTCATACTACTGACGTAATACAGAGAGTGTACAGTCATGTGAAGATGTTTCAACACCCCTGGTCGAATGACATGTTTTACTGATTTCATTGACTTTTTAAGTGAAAATAAGTTAACGTATGCTACAGGGAACAAACTTCCACACATTTTAATGCACAACTACTGTTTGAATGAATAAATGAATGAATGAGTACATTATGTTAAACTAAGCAAATACACAGAAAGCCATTACTGAACTTAATTAGCAGAAAAATAATTGTGTTCTCTGTAAAGGATGTGTCAATTTATCTTCACTTAGAACAAACAAAACATGTAATCAAACTTATGCATATGACTGTACATGAACATAATGGGTCACTTACATGAACCGGTAAGGTCCTGAGGGTTGATGGTAGCGGTGGCTGGCTCGAAGGCTCCTGTGCGAAGGACGTAGTCAGTACTGAGGGCCAAAGTGTTGACCCAGTGAGCATGACCCTGCAAAGTCCGACACTGAACCCCCTAAAGCGAGAATTGAGAAAATGATACTACTTTTGTCCAACGTTTTCTAAGGAACATTATTATTTTAATTTTGTGGCATAAATATATATATATTTTTTAAAGTCATGCTGCATTGTATTTTTCTAGGGCTGGTCTGAGAAGGGAATATTTCTTGATATTTCAGAACGAGTACTTAACTACTCATTCTCACCCTTAAAAATAACAATATTAGAAGTGTTTTAATTCAATCTTTCGACAGAACAAATATGCTTGCATTTTGATTAGTGTTTCAGTTTACACTGGCTGCGCTAGACACGCAACAAACAAACAAACTCAAGTATTCAAATATTCGGGCCAGCCCCTGTTCCCTATACTTTACTGAGATATTTTGTAGGAGGTAGATAAAATCAGAACTGCAACAATTCGTCAGCACATTTGATAAGTTGTTGAATATGTCAATGATGGGAATATGATGTTGTCACATTATGGATGGGGGTCATATGACATCTAATTTTTTTGCAACATAAAAGAAGATATTACTTTTTGCACATTGTGAACTTTAAGTGATGGCAGTGCTATTACAGTGGCAAAGTGAAGAAACTGCATAACACATTATGGTTCAATTAGTTGATTCATCAATAACAGTCAACAGACTAATTACAGAAATAACTATTAGCTGCAGCTCTAAACAAAAACACTCACACAAACTTGAGCCCTTTAGCCTTACGTCTTTTGCCCTCCAGACTTTAATGGTCCTGTCCTGGGAGGATGTGTACAAGAGGCCGTCCCCTCCCCATTTAACACAGGTGACTGACTGTGTGTGACCTGTCAGGATCTTATCGCAGCGGCCCAGCACTGCGTCCCATATCCGAATGGAGCAATCTTTAGAAGAACTGGCCAGATACCTGCACTCAGGGTTCCTTTGATAGAGAGAGAAAGTAGATATGATTCGGTGCAATCCTGGATAAAATGAAGAAGTACGGGACCAGGCACATGATTATTTGAACTAACAGACGAAAGAAAATCCAATGCAAGTAATGTTTAATTGCAGCTGCAAAGTTACATATTTGCATGCCATAATGAGGATGCTATCATATTCTTGTAAATCTACAACAGACACATTAAGTGTGAAAGACTTTTTAGAAAGGCAAAACTTACAGGTGAAGTGGCTCCCAACACAGCCAAGTGATCCATTTAGTATGTCCAGTCAGAGCCTTCCCCATTTGCTGTCCAGTGACAGGATCCCAGAGGAGAATCTATATAGAGGACATGCACAAGTTAGTAGGTATGGACGATATTAACTCACATCATATCATATTTATATCATATATATATCATATATATATATATATCAGTATTGCCCACTATTCCACAACTCAGATGGTAACAATATTATTACTTATCATAATCATTCCTTTTTGTAGGCCCTTCAAAGTTAATAAATAATAACTCTATTACTACAACTAAACACCATAAGATGGTTTGCAAAGGTAGTTTACAAGTTAATAAAAAGCTTTTTTTCCTTATTGCATGTAACCAGTATTTTTTTTCTCTTCTACAAGCCCTGATATTGTTTGTTTTTGCCTCCCCACTCATCCTCAATTCCATTTTGTACACTGGCTGCAAAGTGCAGTTATTTAGCTGGACTGTAAAATCACAATATTAAAAATATTTCATGATTTACTATATGTAATATAGGCAGCTTACTATTCCACTTTTTCAAAGTTTACTGCTCTTTCCTGCCGATTGGACAGTTTTTACAAGCTGATATGTTTTTCTCGCTTTGCACATGATGTCATATCATGTGTCATATCTGCTTTGTCCAAAATGCACAACAAACAACAGAAAAAAGAAACAATTGTGAAATATAAATCTACTGCAGTGCAGCATTGCATACCGTTAGTGAAGCAGGTGTTTCCTTGACACTTTTAATTTTTTAAACCAGGTCTTTCTAATGGCATACTGGAAGTGTCAGGTGTCAAAAAACAGACTCACTTTATAAATGCACTGGCTTCCACAACATCTGTATAAAAGGCTACAGTGATTAGCGCAGAAAGACGCTGTAAGTAGTCAACAGCAGCGCAGTTGCTGCTTCTGTTCTAAAATACATTTTTGTCTAGCTCCTACATTTATTTAAGCTGTTCATGCTCATGGTTGGTGTCATGGGGACAGGGATGTTTGTGGTTTAGAGTTTATCACAGTACCCAAAATATGGCAAAATCCATATAATGAGACAATGTCATACTGGTACTAATTTTCAGACTAGTATTTCGTTGCATACCAGTATATCTCCCACCCCTGTTTAACAGCATAACAGAGGGAATACTTGTGAATACTCACCTGACTGTTCTTGCACCCTGATGCCAACTTTTTTCCATCTGGAGACCAGGCTATAGACAGAACCCAGTGTGTGTGTCCTTAAGGAAATGAGACATAATATTCTCTCAGTGTCAAAGCTTAAGTGGAGCATGAATTTTATGTTTGATTGTACTCAGGATTGTGTAGTGTTGCTGACCTCTAGCAGTGTGATGAGGAGTCTCTGTAGTTAGGTCCCAAAATCTCACAGTCGTATCTCCAGACCCACTAGCCAGGTATCTAAGCCACAAGAAGTTACACAGTAAAGCAAAATCTTCTAAAAAAGCATGAAGCAACACAGCAAATGCCCGTTTTAGGCTCTTTTAAGCTCAGAGGGGCATAAAAAGACAGATGTTTTGACTATTATGAATGTATTATGATGACTATTATCAAGTTGCAAATGAACACATCTTCCATGTGCCACCCACAAATGCGTTTTTTTCATACCAACTGTTAAGAGATTGGACAGGCTTTACAGATCATTGGCAAAAACCCTATTTAACCGAATGAGAAATTACAGCATCCAGCATTTTGTTAGAACACTTTAGTTTAATTTAAATGTAGTGTGCATTATAGTTCCGAATAACATTTATTTTGTATGTGAAAAGTCACACTGTCAAGTTTTTGAGACAGGCCCCTGTTCTGCATTAGATGCAACAACTTCCAACTTGGTAGAATAGAATATCAAACCGAAACTCAAATGTTATGTAGCAACACTAAAGTACAATCACTACAATTTCCCGTTAGGTTTAACAAAGTTTTTACCAACTGTGCAATAAGGTTAAAATGGCTGCTCTACTCACTTGCCCGTGGGACTGAAGGCTACTGAGATGACGGCCTCAGTGTGTCCCTGCAGAGAGCTGGTGCAGCGGGCCACAGCCCTCACACGGAACACGGCCTGCGGCTGGTACACCACCGGCAGCACTTGTTCTGTCTCTAAACCCAGCGTCTGCACACAGGCTCCGAGAGAGGACACCACCTCTGCATCACGCACAAAGAACAACAGTGGGACTTGCTCCTCCTAAATCAAAGTGAGAGAGAGAGAGAGAGGGAGAGAGGGAGAGAGAGAGAGTGTGTGACAAAACCTGAAAACAGCACAACACAGACTTTCAATGCAGCAGATGATCTAAAAAGGGAAACCTGCAAAAGACTAAGTGTTAGAGATATAAAAGTTAACGAACTGAGCCGCAAATAACTAACTATTCAGCAGAGCAGTGTGGGTGCTTGGGTCAAGAACCAAAACTTGGCAATACTGATGGCAAAATAATAAATAAAAAAATTAATAAAATAAAAAGTAGTACTGTGAATACTGCAGAAAACTGAATCAAAATCGGTTCCACATTGCTGTCTTACTGCAAGCAGAAGAAAATGTTGGAACGCCCACTGACGCAAGACCAAACAACAGGACATTGGCATCTAAACACGTTGCTGCAGCAACAGCACCACCAAATAACACTAATTGAAAATAAAAAACAGGAGTGATTTTAAAATTCTTGATGATTAAGATGATTATGGTAATACTGTCTCTGTGCAACAGCACACAAAGTCACAAATTCTTTGAAACTAAATGGCATGTTGAACTGTACTTAATATGGCTTGAGACATGAACCAACAAGGTAAAAAAAAAAAATCATGTTGATTTTAACATCAAAAAGTAAGTAAAGGAGTGTTTGAATGGAATTTCTTTTGTTATTGTGTATCTATTGTGTACGCAGGTATTCTGCATTTTCACAGGTATTTGTGTTGACGACCAAAATTCTGGTATTGTGACATTAGGGTCTCCACTTTACCTTTTGTAGTAGTGCATTGCAGACCAGCTGCAGTTTATCTGGGGTTATGTCCAACGGCACATCAAAGGGGGATCCAAGGGCCTCACCCCCCTCATCCTGAAACTGGATCAACAAGCGTTCCACGTCCCCACTCATATCCTAAAGAAATCCTCACGATGACTGACAAAACAAATAAAATGACAGAAGCTTGATAAAAGGGAGAAAATCTCTCCTCATGTACACAAACTTAATGGAAAAGAACAAGCCATAGTAAATAATAGGTGGGCGAGTCTGTTCAACAAATTTTTCTTTCACACAAGATGGGTCTTTAGGGTTCTTTAGTAAAAGGAATATTTCTGTTCAGAACCATGAGTTCTATACAGAACCATTTCATGCTTAAATTCTTTGTTCTTCCTATGGGGAAATGGTTCTTTAGTTTGATGGAGAACGTGTTATAACCTATATGTTTTACATAGCTAGAAACTTTCTGAAAATGGCTTGACATCGTAACAATACTAGAACCATTTTTTGGTGCTATGAAATAGAAACCAAAGTAACAGCAAGGAGATCGAAAAACGTTCTCTGAGAAATAAAAGCAGCAGTTAGAGTGTCACTACCGTACCATTTAAGGTGGAACGGAACATTCATACGGGAAGCTTAACGTTACTGAAACATCGTAATTTCTTGCTACGTTTATTAGTTACGTAAGTACACCGCGGTTACTCTCTGAATGTCCTGTATTACTAAAGCACGAGCAAAATAACTATCTAATTAAGCGAATAAAGTGTGTTATTTAAGACAGAATAAAGACAAATAAAGGAAACACCATTACCTTACTGAGGCGAGTTTATGTTCCACACGTGCGGAATCTACTCCGGGGGCGCAGGGAAAATGACGTGACTTTTGGTCGTGGCGTTACGTCACTCATGGGCGACAGTTTTAAAGTGCAGTGTTTTAAAGTAGCGGCTGAGATCTGAGACCAAACGGCAAACTAAACCAATATGGGTGGCAAAAATAAACAAAGAACGAAGGGAAATGTTCGGGTAAGGAGCCAGAAGACCTATTCAGCTGCGAGGGGTGTCAGAGTGACTGTGGTAACGTTAGTTAACCGAGGCTGCTAACTAATGTTAGCTAACCTGGTGAGGTGTTTGTGACAGCCTGTAACACACATCACTACATTTGTACAGTATTTTATAGAGTAGCTGCATATTATATAGTCGAGTGTGTGTTATAAAGACTTTAAAATGCGAGTATGTCAAAAAAACTACAAATAAGGGCAAATTAAACGGTTGGCTACCAGTGAAGTTTTGACGAGCCGCTGTCAAGTCAAGGCTACGTCACGCCTTGGGCAGCAGATATGAAATCCTAAAGGAAAAATGTATTCCTTAAGGTCAGCATTTCTTTATCTTAGGAGAAATTAAGCTAGTTTCAGAATTATCTTAATGAAAGGTAAGTGATGTCTACGTTGTTTCTCTTAAGGGTCTTTAGGAGAAAAGAGAAAATAAACATAAGTATTTCATTAAGACATTGTGGAGGTAAATAAGAATAGAATGAGTTCTCCTTCTGCACAGATAGACTGTTTAAGTATTTCTGAGATATAGAGGAGAGCTGCCTGAGAAAATGACAAGATCTTAGACTTTATCTTTTAACACAAAAGAGTTAAGCCACCTGTGAGGCAATATTTAGATCATAGTGAGAGATTTTGGGGGTTGTTTCTCAGGAGCCCAATTTAACAGATTTAAGAAAAGTCTCACACTCATTTAAAACAGAACTTAAGCATGTCGTGGAGAAGTAAATGTGATTAAGATAAGGTTTTATTTAGAGTATTTCATTCATCTTAGATTACAAAGACTTTCTTTTTCTTTTTTTTCCCCTCTACATATCTTGTGTTTCCTCTTTTTAGCCATCCAGCAGTGGCAGAGCAGCCGAATTATTGGCCCGGGAAAGCGGGGTCATTCCTGGGTTCGTTGGATTTGGGATTTCGACCTCAAATGAGCCAGGATATGTGCCTGCTGTCCATGGTGCAGAAGAAATAGACAATCTGGTAGATGGTGATTTTCGTTTGGTTTTGAGGAAGTTGTCCAAGAGAGATGCAGTCACAAAACTGAAGGTGAACTTTCTTGCTTTTGTTGTGGTTACAGAATTTTTTTTGGTTGACACACAATGATTCACTGTAAGTAAGTACACTACATGTCCAGAAGTGTCCAGGCATTCCTTGTAATAAGTGAATTTGTTTGCTTTGAGGTGCACCCATTGCTGACATAGGTGCACACATACCTTGTTTAATCTTCATGTAACAAACTTGTCAATAAAATAGGGAAGCTTTGGAGCAGCCACGCATGAGCCTAGATCACCGTGCTCAGTGTCTTCCCTTGGGTTTCCCTATCTCTCCTGTAATGGAATCCTGCTTGCCTATGCATGTAATTGATAAACATTTGTTGATAAAGGTCCCAGTCAGGTGCTAGGATGGTGTTTTTTGTGATAACTTCATGCTGAATGAATAATGTTAAAATGAATCTGCTCAAAGAGCTAATTTACTAATGTCACTGGTGTGAACAATGGGACAAACTTTTTATAGTCATCTTAAACTAAATTGACTTAATTTTACTTTTTCCCATCTGCATTCAGATGAGAAACTGGATGTTCTGAAACTGTTCAAATCTGTGAAAATGGTTTGTTCTTGCAGGCAGTACAGGAATTTGGGGCAATGTGTCAGGAGCGGGAATCAGACGTAGTAAAAGGTGTTCTTCCCTATTGGCCACGGATATACTGCAAAATATCACTGGTAAGACTTGGATACTTGATTCTGCTCTCATTCTTTGGACTGGCTTTACATGATAAACCTTTCATGCAAATTTAGTTGCCTGAAACCTACATGAAACATGAAATTGCACTAGAATTGTGGGATGTAAGGCATCCAGTAACTCACTTTAAACTCAGCTGCGACAGCTGCAGGTGTCTCAGCATCATGGAACAAGTTTCACCATACAAATGGCTTTGGCTCGTTGGACAAAACTAATGTTTTCTTATTTGGGATTTGTTCTTGGGTAAGAACAGAATCTAAGCACACTGAAGAGCACAAAGGTGTGAACAGTTCTGTGGTTCAAGAACACATCATGAAACTTTTTTCTTAGGATCTTTCTCAAAAAACAAATTTAACCCTTGTGTGGTGTTGATATTTTTGTTACACAGTGGTCTGGTGGACCCACTGTATTATTTTTATTTATTTATTTTTTTAAAATCAATTAGCCATAACAATTTGTATAAAAATACCAGATGTTTAAAATATAAAAAGTGACCAGCGTAGGGTTCTCCTTTAGCAGCTGTAAACATTGAAAATGGGTCCCACAGACCCAAACGCCACACAAGCGTTAAGAAAAAACTTAGGAAGATACTGATAAATAAGGCCTACTGTCTTTTGGACACTCGAAAAGGAGACACTTCTTACTAACTCCATGCAAGGTTGGTAGTTTTGTCAGTTAATTGAGGAGTGACGAGAAACAAACAAGAGTTTCTCAAAGCTAGCATTTTCTGAGACCAGCTGGATTAACTAGCCAGCTAATAGTAAAGGCTGCTTAAACTCTTTTCTATATTTTCAGTAGACTCTCTTCTACCCGCACAAGTTATCCGAAAATGATAAAAAAAAGTATTGATGTGTAGATTACCCGTCTCATATATATCATAAGTTTATGTAGCAAGAACGATGCGGCAGAACAAACAATACAAGCTGTTTTATTTGTCTAACTAGTGGAGTAACTGTGTATAATGTGCACCTTTGTTTCTATGTCAAATTACATAGAAATTAGGTTGAAAGTCACAACATGCAACTGATTGTATGAAGGTTTCACCATGTAAAGCCAGCCTGAGGTTTTATTCTTTAGATATTCTTACTCTCTTATGTTCAAATTTTACAATTGTCCCACTGCAAATATTGCACAATTACAAGGTCTAGCTTTTACATTCATGCTGTATTAGGATCATGACCGCCGTGTTCGAGAGGCCACACAGCAGGCTTTTGAGCAGCTCATTCTGAAAGTCAAGCGAAACCTTGCACCTTACCTGAAAGGTATAATGGGCCACTGGCTCATAGCTCAGTGTGACACATATTCCCCTGCTGCCTCTGCTGCTAGCGTCGCCTTCCAGGCTGCCTTTCCCCTCAACAAACAGCCAGAGGCTCTCAGTTTCTGCAAAGATGAAGTGTTGAATGTAAGTCTACAGCCTTCTTTTGTTTATAATTTATCAACTAGGAAATTTTAGCTGGCGATTGATTTAAAAAAAATTGAGAGTAACCATGTAATTCTCTGTTGTTTATTGTATGCAATTGTTAAGGTAGAAGGCGCAGCTGGTCTGATTAGCTGTCTTGCTTTCTAGCAGTGATAGTTTCCATCTGAGGACAGGCACAGCTCAAACTCAAATAAACAAACATTGTTCTCTGTTGCCTTCTAAAGGTGTTATAGCAACAATCAGAAGTTAAAATTTTTGGTTTTGCAAGACCTATGATGTGTCTAAATAAATGTATTTTCTACTTTTTTTTTTAATTTACATGTATTTGTCTCATGGCCACTGATGAAAATGCATCTAATTCACATTCCGTTTCTTGCAACAAAAGCATTTGACATGTGTAAAGCTCATGACTATGGAAGATAAGTGTGGTCAGTTAGGATTGTGGTGAACAGTTCAAATAATTGTGATCAGAACTTTATGTATTATTCGTGAGAGCAAAGCAGCATGTAGGACATGTACTCACAGAGCATCACCCCCACTAGGCTCCACAATAACGCATGCAACTTGCATTTTCCAGGTGCTCCAAGACAATCTGCTGAAGGAAACAGCCGACACCCTCAGTGACCCACAGTAAGTAATAATTGGGTATATCTGCTCCTGAATGTGTTGTGTTACACTGTTCACCACAGAATGCTGTTACCTGATGCACTATATGCCTGTAATGGTACTGTGTATGTCATAAACACTCAGGAGCATTCCAGAGGAGGAGCGAGAGGCAAAATACATGCGTCTGCTGACCAGCTCCATGCTGGCACTAAAGAGACTGCTAACAATGATTCCTCAAACAGACCGTGAGGCTCTAGACGAACGTCTTGCTCATGTTCTCTCACAGGGGAAGTTCTGGAAGTACAGCAAACACAAAACTCCACAGGTGAGAGAGATGTCAGCATTACAATAACTAACCCTTATAAATGGCTTCATTTTAAGGCAGACATAATTGAGTCTATTAGTAACCAAGTAATTGAATGAGAAAAAAAAAAATGGCCAAAACATACATACATAGATTGAACAATAACAAACTATTCATAGCTGTTGAAAAAAGAAATACTACTGGAAAAAGAACCACATTGGTAAAGACCTCAGTGGAAAACACTGTGTGGCGAAAAAAATGCATATAAATGATTGTGTCCATTAGGCTACTTTTCTTACTGTAAGAGACACAGGAAAAAGAATTTAAAAAATGCATAATCATCTTTCAGATTGCCAACTAGTCTAGTGATGCTTATAATAAATCATTCAAATGAAGTTACAAAACCCAGGTTTTTGCATGAGACCTGGCATCACATAGGCTAATGGTATGTAAGTATATATATTCAGTGTGAACGACATTACTGTTGTTGATATTGCATAGGTACATTTTCTGTGCATAGAATAAGACCCCTTTCATAAGTTTTATGTGTGTGGATTTACAGAAATGTAAAATGATCTAATAAGCTTTGTCTGTGTATTCAGCTTCTCTTGAATTCTAAAAAGTGAAATCTCAGTAAGTTGGTTGAGGCCAAAAAAGGTGGTGATGCCAAAAGAACCACATATAGCAATGTTTATCATTATCGTGATAAATTATGTCACAATATATCACAATATGCTTTTCCGAGCATACCAGGGTTATTGTCTGTACTTCAAAACACTTCCCAGTTTCATGTCTGCTTACAAAGACAGCATAATTACTCCTGTTTAGTTGGATTTAGTACAGTGCAGTATGAAAAATGTTAAATGCAAATCATTGTATGCAAAAGTTTTAGTAGTGTTAGTAGTGTTAGTAGTAATTAACTACATTGTCTTTTCCAATGTGTCACATTTCTGGAAAAATATATTATTTGACCTGTTGTGAGTTTTTTAATTGTAACACTGCACTGTATTTTACCAATATATCGTGTCAGGAAAATGTATATTTTGACATATTATGTATCGTAAAAACCTCTTGAACTATTATGATAATATATTTTTGCCACATCACCCACCTCTAAGCTGAATACAGTACATGATGATACAAAGAATGTGCATTTTGCACTGTTTGAAGACCTCTGCTTCAAACACAGTAGTTCCAAAAGAATTAAATTTAAATTTGTGTAATTGAATTCATTGAATAGTTGTGACAGTTGCATTGACTAGTCCTTGGCCTTTTTATTGTCTGAAGTTAATCCCATAATGAAACAGACTATTTTCAGGTGTTATCACTGTGAGTCGTGCTCTCTGCTGTAGGTCCGAGGGGCGTTCTTCGAGGTGGTTGCTGCTCTGTGTGAACTCGCTCCTCAGCTCATTCAGGCCGAAGCAGCACGAGCCTGTTCTGCTGTACTCCTCAGTATTGACGACTCTGACCCTGTGGTCCTGCCGCCACTGTGGGAGGCTGTGCTGCACATTCTCTCCAGCGTAGAGGTCAGGCCCTTTATTCATGACTCCGTGTGACTGAGATTTTAAAGCTACATTCAGTAACTTGGAAAGCCATAGGTGCAACTGTGAGTGACACTTGTAATGTCTACCACTTCGAAAGCTGCAGCTGATCAGCAGTGTTTGGCTTGGATTTACAAAGAATATAATGATTAGTCTGTAGTTCTCTTCAAGCTACTTCTGCCATGGATAAAATCTCTGTAAAAACAAGGGTTCTCTGGGCCTTTCTCTTGCCTTACAATGCCCTGCATGTAACTCTTTGCCATGAGTGCATTTTGAAAAATATGTCAAAAACTTTGTCAGACTATTGTAAAATAGTGTATCAGGCAGTGTGCACATAACCTTTTTATGTAATAGCTTTCTGTGAGGGAGCTTTTAGAGCCATTAAACACTTTAGATGTCTGGCTCCCCTCACCACCACTGTGAACAGTTCAGACTTATTAAGTTTCTTTAGAACAGAGAATTTCACATCGAACCACTCTGAATGACTTTGTTTACAACTGTTTAATTATGCAGATTTTTTGTACTCAAAACAGTTGCATGTAGTTTGTTGCCATGTGACTCTACTCCATCAAAGTCAAAAAAGAAGAGTTAAATCTTACAAAATGCAATGTAGATGCATGTGATATATGTATATGGGAATATTAAGTTGCTCATCATACATTTATCCAATGTCCTGTAGGACTGTTGGACTCATGTAAATGCCAGGAAAGGTGTGCTACCCAAGCTTTGGGCGCTACTGAAAGAGGGAGGCCGTGGCCTGGCCACTGCACTGCACCCCAACATGCTCCCCTTTATCAGCAAACTTCCAGCAGAGGTCACTGAACCCAAACTTGACTTCTGTAGAACATTCTTCACATCCATCATACAAGGGTAATGCACTTGCATCATTAAAAAATTATTTGAGCTTCTGCAGTTACTCATTAATGTGGACTCTTCCACTGTTGAGGTCTATAAATTTGATTTGAAATACTGTTAAATAGTATTGCGTTACATATTTAAACTGAAATACACCAACATCACACATTAATGAATAGAATTCTAGTAGAGTTTTATGTTTAATGTTGCTGTGTAATTAGAGTATGTTCTTGTCACTGACTTATGTTTGCTTCAGTCTGTCCAGTGAGCGTGCCCTAGCCAGCCCCTCAGAGTGTGCAGCCATTGTTTTTGCCACCATGGAGTGCTTGCGTTTCCTTCTACTACAGAACGCAGGAGAGGAGCCAGAACAGCGGGCCATGCAGGCAGTACTCATCTCAGAGCAGGTGACTGGGTATAAGTCTGTGTGCTTCAGAGCAATAATGCTGCTCTGGAATTTTTGCCTTTCTTGATGTTCTGGGTGCAGTTATGTGGAGCTTGTCCAACAAATGTAAAAAGTGGACCTTAGGGGAAAAGATAAAATACAAGAAAAATGTAAGATATTGGGCCTCTATGGGATAACAACCCTAAAGGTAAATTAATCCTTCTCTTCTTTTTACATCTACTTTCACAGCTCCTGCCTTTGATAGACAAATCACTAGGAAACCCTGCTTTGCAGAGTGGGCCTCTGTTCCTTCAGATTACTGAAATGCTGGTGTCATGGGAGAAGCGTACGACTGGAAACGAGGCCAAGACCTTCCAGAGACTGCTGGTAGATTTCTGGGAGGGCCTGGGCAGCCTTTGTGTGGGGTATGTGGATCAAGAGGAGACGGAGCAGGTGGCTCTGGAAGGCGTGGCCTCTCTGCTGCAGATCATGCAGAACCCTTGTAAACAAGGCAAGCGGAAGAAGGCTGTGAAGATCTGCTTCTCGGACCAGGAAGCAAAAGGGCAAGGGGAAGATCTTCCAAGCGGAACTCCACCAACAGAGCTTTCCGAAAGCCAGGGGAAGCAGGACTCTTCCCTGAGGAGCAGCCACCTGCTGGAGCTGGTGTGCCAGCTGGCTGAATTAAACATGGTGTATGTGTGTGAGCGCAACTCAGAGAGGCACCTGCGCTTTCTGGCTCTGCTGCTGCGCGCCTTCCCAAAGCCACAGGTGTTCCAGGTGCTACTAAAGTCAGAAGATGGAAAGCCTGAACAGGGACTGGAAGCAGAGCTCGGCACGCTGTCTGAAAACCCGGCTGTACGCTTTCTCCTGCAGAGAGTGGTGGTGTGGCTCCGGCAGGATAACAGACAGGACACTGACTTTCTGGTGGACATGGTGTTCAGTGCTTTACATTGCTGTAGCTCCAAAGGAGAGCAGACTCTTGTTCTCAACCACATCACTGTAAGCTTTGCAGTTATTCAGCTGTCTCTCTTCCAATAAGGCTATCAGTATCCCTCGATATTAATCATTAGCATAATCATTAACCTATATTTATTTCTAGATGCTCAATTTTTAATCTAAAAAAACAAAAAAGCCAAATCTTGCCTTTTCTCAAAATCATAGTCTTTTTACTAAAAAACTGAAAAAGGCAAGGTAGCTAACTCTCCTAACTGTCCTACTGGTTTGTCCTGTTACAAGTGAATGGCTAAACACACCTAGTGAGTGCAAGGCATCCACCTAGTGCATAGACATAGAATAGTTGAAGTCTTTGCTGTTATTCTGGAGCAGATCGGCATAATAAGTACCTCAAAACATGCACTATCCATGCAGAAAACCCATGTTATCCATGTTCTCATAAGTATTATCATCTTTTAATGCCCTGGTTTATCGTTCAGTTCTTTGATTGTTCAGAATGCATTTTTTTGCTGAGACATCTCTCTCTCACTCTCTTTCTCTCTCTCTGTAGATTAACTTGAAATGGGGTGTTATTCTTCAAATTATCCAAAAGGTAAGTTTGGCTTGCTAGTATTCTTTTGTCATAGAAAATGTTCAGTAATGCCTACTCTCTGTTTTGTTAACTGTCTTTGTGTCTGTTTGTCAGGCATGTAATGATGCTGGCTATTTGGAGGCTTGTGTTGGCTGGTTAAGAGGCTCAGTGCTAGGTGAGCGCTTGGTAGGGCTGGCTGGTGAGCTGTGTGCCTTTGGGCTGAAAGGATCGCCCTCTCTCTCCTCCCCACTCATGAGCCAAAACAGCCATAGCTGGCCACTCATCAGCCTGGCCCTCTCTCAGCAGCACAATAACGGTAAACAACAACATGCACACAGACACATGCACTGAGTAATCAGTTTTTTTCTACTGCTTCTATGTGACATATAAGGTGATTCTAGATCAGGGTTCCTCACCTGCTGGGCCTCAGCCCAGACCCTCTAGTGATCTGTGGCCCTAGATTCGGTAACAGCACTTTAAGTCATAAAATAATTTAAAAGTGAAAAACAAGCCAAAGTATTAATTTAGTGTAAGATTGAAATATCAAACGTTTTTGAAATTCTAAGCAATAGAAGTAGGAGTAAATTAATTTTACCTCATCATTTTAAGTCCATGCAGCCACAGGCATGTGATACAGATGATTAGGTAGTGAGAGATAAAGTTCCTCAGGGCGCTTCCCCAACCACATTGTTTGGTGTGGACCTATCAAACGTTTTCTTTACTTTTATCTATTTTGACCGTTTGTGTGAACACTCCACTCATACTCAGGTTAGCAACAAACAATTTAACCAACCTCCAGCAAAACCACAGGTCTGCGTTCACTTCCAAGTGAATCCTGGTTCAGTTCACTGCTGGTGGGAACGCAATTTTATGATGATCTGCATCAAACGAGGGAGTTCATCATCAAGTTATGCTTTTCTCTTCTTCTTCTAGTTGTGTGTCAGTGCTGTACTGTCCTCATATTCTGTAATTTTTAACGTCTGACTCTTGATAGATTTTGGTATTGTTCCTGCAGCACGAACTGCTGTTAAAAAATGGCAATAAAATAATAGTGAGAATATGCGTTTTGGCACATGGAAACCCAAATGTACTTCTGGTCAAGCGTCAGCGATAATTTCAGCATCTATCAGTAGAAGAGCTGAAGTTTGTTAGGTTCTGGTTTTATCTTTTTGATGCATGCTTCATCTACAGTAAAATTATTATCATTAAAAGTCAGAGTGACTAATCACAAAGCAGTATAGACATGACCACTAAAAAAGATCATGAAAATACAAAACAAAGGAATTAGGATTAAATGGTAATGTCCAGAATGTAAGAAATAGATTCCATTCCCTACAGATATACCTGTTGAAGTAAAAGTACTGTAAATTGAAAAGTACATCTTCCTTAAAATTTGACTTACATACACATAATAGCCACTTTTGTTTATTTCACAGTTTCACTGTTATTCTAAAATAAACAGTATGTTAATGTGCCAAAGTCTGGTGAATTTGTCCTGTACCTCAGGTTTCACTTTGAGGAGTAAAATTTAATTGCAGCTTCAGCCTCCTTTTACTTCATTGTCCCTTTTGCCCCCCCCCAGAGTCACTGATTGGTAAGGTGTACGTGGAGCAGATCATCGAGCGGCTGCATGCTACACTATCAGAGGCAAAGGGCATGTCGGATGCTGGGAACATGGAACCTCTCGTCTCCTTCATCTGCGACGTGGCCTCCAACTTTTTCTCATCAGTAAAAGGCTGTTTATTGCTGGCAGCGGCCGAGGAGCTGCTCCTCACCATTTTCCAGCTGTGTGCACAGGACCAGACCCTCACACAACTCTCAGGTGTGTATGGGCTCTATTTGAGTACCCAAATACTTCACAAAAAATTCTCATCTCTGAATGCATTTTATTAATTACACAGATGTAGTACATTTAGTGATGTTTTTCTTGCTACGCTGCAGATGTGGAGATGTGGATAATAGCTGAACTATTACCAAATTAAAGCAAGAGTAAAAGCTAAAAGTAAAGTGAAAACAATTTTTCTTGAATATTCTTGGAACATTTTCAAGATGTGAAGTTTTAATTTTTTTTAACATCAATAGATTTTCTGCTTGTTTGCTTTTTTAATACTTGTGCATTCTGTTTGTGCGATGGATGGTATTTAGGGTAATGACTGGGCAATGTTAACACTGTTTGACTTATGTATGTGCATATGTGTTTGTCCTGTGTGCCAGATGCTCTGCTGCAGAAGATGAAACTTGCCTACACTGCTGGAGTGCACTCATTAGTCACACAGTTAGGGGCAGGGGTCACGAAGGGGACCTTCCTCTACAGTGCTGCAGTCTGGGTTAAAAACCAGCTTCTCACTTCTGCTCTCAATGTGAAAAGGTGCCAAATACACCAATATTTTCTCTTCTGGTAATGAGTTAGAGTTACAGCCTTGCAGAATAGAGCTTAATACATACACAGATGCTGTCCTAAGACATCTCTGTGCTATATCTCTAAAACCAGTTCAGAACCGGTTCAGTGAACAAAAAGGAAAATGGACATATATATACGATATTTTGTTAGGAACAAAAATACAACTGAAAACATAATCTTCCTTAACTGTTCTGGAACAGAAACATTAATTTGAAATTTCAGTTACCATTTAATATCATATTTCTTTGTTCCATGTAGCCCAGTAGCTTATTATTTATGTCTTACCAAACTCCCAGTTGTTGCATGTTGTCATGCAAGTACATGATTATAAGTAGTCAATTGCTCTGAATGTCCTCTGTGCTTTTCTGTACTCTCAGATGATTTTGTTTGTATCGTGTCAGGATGCAAGAAACCACTTAGCCAGCTAGCATGTGTATGCATTTTTAAACAGGGAATTTGCTAACTCTCTTGACAGCATGTAACATTGCATCTGATAACATCTAGTAATATTTTATGGGCTATTTCCTGGATATTTGTTGGAGCAATTTACTGAGTCACAAATGGTTAAATTCAGTAGCTTGTGTGTGTGCAGACTTTTCAATACATCCACAACTGCTGGGTCTAGTAGTATTCGAGGTCTACTTTTATTATATTAGGTATACATACAGCCTATGTAAAAGGAATGAAATTACAGTTTTTTTAAATTTTGCTCTAATTTATGAATGTTATGTTTTGGTTGGAATGCAAGGACACAAACATCAAAATATTGGTTCTATTCTAAGCCCTGTTTTTAGTTTTTAGCCCTGCCTAAAACAATCTCTAAATTGATGACTTTAACATTGGCAGACTTTTAAAGGAATGGTTCAGTAAAAAAATTACCCAATTTTCCACTTACCCTAGATGTATTCAGTAGGCTGAAACATGTTTGAAGTCCATATTTTGCTTCTTTAGTTTAGGACTGGAACAGCAACGCTAACATTACTAATAAACAGTAGAACTCAATAGTCATTCAAATTGCCTGAATTGTTTCTGTAAAAAAACATCACCAATCGCATTCCAGGTTGACTTGTGGTTCAGAGCACAGTATGACTTACTGTGAACTATACAAAAGAGCAAAACTGCAGGCAGCTGCTTTAGGTATATTCACAAACCACCTAGGAGTAGGAGTGCTGATCTAAAATCAGTATTTGTGATAATGATCGACGTAAATATGGAAGAATCTGATCCATGATCAATCATGCTTTGTCAATACTAGCCCTAGTGTTTTGCTCATGTTAAGTTGTATCATGCCCTAAACCACATTGGCAAGTCTGTATGACCTTAACAAAGACCTGAATGCAGTTTGAATGGTTTTGGGATTCATTTTAACAGAAATGATTTGGGCTATTTGGGTGACTGTTGAGTGTTGTAGCTCCAGTTCTAAAGAAGCAAAATTTGGACTCCAGTTCTAAAGAAGCAAAATTTGGACTCCACATATGTCCACTTACCCCAGATGATCTACATCTGGGGTAAGTGGAAAACTGGATAAATTTAACTTCTTGCCAAACTATTCCTGTATTATTTTGATCTGCTTTAGATGCTTTAGAGTATTAGATTTAGGCACTAGGTCACAGCTGTCTTTAGCATGGTCACAGTGTACTATATAGGAAAAAGATTTTGTATTCTATATTGTAGTACTGATTTTTATGGTTCATTGTGATCCAATGTTGAAGAGTGATACTCTGTATGCTGTCTACAGTCTGCAGGTTCTGGTCCAGGCGGTGCAGAGCTTGGCCGAAACTTTGTCCTCAGCCCAGCAGAGCGAGTGCCTTTTGTCACAGTTCATTTGCTGTCTCAGCCCAACACACGAGGAGTGGGTTTTCCTTAGAAAAGCCCTGCCTCCTCAGGTACGCATCATATGCTTACACCTGCTCATCTCATATGATTTGCAGCCACTCACAACTTCTTGTAACTTAGCCTATTTTTTGACACTTGCATGATGCATGCTTAGTTCTTGCAAACAGAATTCTTTATCCAGCCAGAGAACAAACTCTAGACTGATGACAGTAACAATATATTAATACAATGTATTATTATATGTTGTTATGTAATGGAGTAATGAACCAGCCTGGTTTGTTTATCATTGATTTGAGCACAGTCTGACTCAGGGTTTTTTTTCATTATTATTTCTCTTCTGTGGAAAGCTCTGATTTAGACATTTTATGCCTCACATTGTTGAAATGCCTTCTGGGCATTTTACAGCTCCCGCAGCTCAAATGGTTCTAAATGTCTGAAAGTTTTATGAAGATGAGACCAAAAAATGTTTTTTTTTCCCCCTGCTGAAATGTTGCATCTGAAATCTAGTGGGTAAAGCTGCCCCTGCTGTTTGGGCGTCTCAGAGTGACTGAGGAGAACCCTGGCATAGACTTGTGGAAGGTGAAGGGCTTGAGCAGACTCCCTGCACATCTGTGTGCCAGTGCTGTGCTGGGAAAAATCATTTTCATTGCAGTACCAGCTGATACCCAGCAGGAGGAGACAGACACCTCAGAACTTCCTGATCTCAGACACACGGGTGAGGTGCACTGCGCTGATACATTGCATGCTCAATATAAAATAACCCTTGCAAGTTAATGAATAAGCTAATGAATGTAACAATTTTAATGAATGAGGAGATGCATATGAATGAGAATTTGCTAATGAAAGCAGATACAAATTAAAATGTAAAATGTGATTGTCTAATAACCAGAGTACACAAATTCCCAATAGAGTCTGGCTCTTTTCTGTACATTCTGCTGTCATGGTTTTATTTAGACCAAAAAAATCTTTGAGTGAAGTCTGTCTGTATATTAAAGGGGAATTTTTCTGATTTTTATTCCATGGATGTTTTTTAGTTTTTTTCTGGGTGATTCAACCATTACACTGTAAACAGTTATTCAGAGTGGTTTGATGTGAAATGCTCCATTTTAGAGAAAATTACTGACTCAGATTTCTTGGTGGTGATAGGAACCAGGAGTCGTGATATCTACAACATAAATGTAGCCATTTTATTTACTTTCCAAAACCACCAGTGAACCTATGCATGCTTTCTGTGTTATATGTAATTTTGATAATGGTAAAATAGGTGCATTTCTGACATTTTTTGGGACTGTTTTGCCTTACAACGCACTGAATGTACCTCTCTGCCATTAAAGAATATATTTTAGGCTAATATCTTATCTCAAAAATATAGTAACTTTCTGTGAAGGAGCTTTTAGGGGTGTTAAACTCTTCACACGTCTAATTCCCATCACTACTGCTGTGAACAACTCGGTAAGTCTAGAATGGAGCATTCTTCTTTAAATCCATTCATGGTGAAGAGGTACATGCAGGGTGTTGTAGGGCAAAATAGTACCCAGAGAAAATTTGTTTTTTTTCAGATTTACAAGATTTTAGCCATCAACACTACATATATAGCATATAGGTTAATTTAAGATAAAATTTGCTGTTGGAGACATGGTAACTGTCACCACCACTGTAAAGAAATAAAAAAAATTCAGAAAGTTTCTTTACAATGCATTATTTCACAGTAATCATCTGTTTGTCATTGCATACCTTTCAGTGTATTAATTATGTAGATATTTTGAAAAAATTATAGAATAACCCTTTAATAATACTACTCATATGTAAGGAAGATCCTGGATATGTAATCTGAATATCTGTGTGTGTGTGTGTGTGTGTGTGTGTGTGTGTGTGTGTGTAGTTGCAGAAATTCTTTATGCTCTGCAGTGGTCTGAAGAGATGGAGCATTGCCCTGCCATGCTGTCTGAATATTACAAAATGCTCCAAGACTGGAACATAGCTGAGAAAACCCATAGCAACAGTTCAGCCAAAGCTGGCGTTCTGGAAACATTGTTCACAAGGTGAACCCATTCATCTATGCCCAAATTCTAATCTGTTCCAATTCCACAGCATTGATTATTTTCTAATTAGTTTGTCCTTAATTACTAATATCCATGTTTAGATGCATGTATGCATGACCTCCCTTGATTGCAAATGTCTTAAATTTGTTTTTAATGAGCGTAATTAATCTGAGATCTCGGGTTTGTTTAAATCCCAGGTCGCGAGAAGAGGGTGCCCTCTGGTCACTGACTTTGGCAAGCTATATCCAGAATACCAAACCAGATGCCAGCGTCATTAAGAGTCTCTGTGGTAACGTGGAATGGTAAGAGAAGTACTGAAGTTTTGAACAAGTGCACTTCTTCAGTTAATAAAAGGCTTCTTTTGTGTGCTCTCCAACTGCAGTTCCTGAAGAATACTAACCAAAGTTGAAGGCTAATTTATAGTAAAATTGACCAACATGTTGTGCTGGTCAAATTGACCAAAATGTAGGTAGCTGTAGCTCAGCAGTAGTGCACTCTTGCTGAACTCCCAGGTGGAGCAGCTCATCAGCATCAGCCAGATGTCTGTCTCTCAGGATGTGCTAACGTTAAAGCCATTAACATGCCTCAGCAGTGCCTGCTCAAACAAACGCCTGAAAACGCAGCGGTACCGTTAATGTTGATGTTGTTTCTCTGCTGTGTGTGTGTGTGTGTGGGTGTATGTCAGTTTCTATCCTCTTTCGGAGCAGAGTGTGTGCACTATTCAGGTATTGTGTTCGTCTCTGACCGCTGCCGAAAGAGAAGGACTCATCGCTCTGTCCATTGCTGAACTACTCAACTGGCAGGAGAAGGACCAAGACTGCGCCCGCAGTACGAATTACACACACAGTCTCACTCTCACAGTCTCACATTTATACAAAAATGTTTTATGTTCTGGAAGTGTTATGAACTCTGTGCTCATATCATGACTTTGATTAGTTGAAGATTTCATGTTGTCCAGACTGCAGTCCTACTGAGTTGCTGTCAAGAGAGGTGGTTTGTGTGTTTTTTAGGTGTGTGGGCGTGTCTAGCCGTGCTGCACTGTTGTCTGCAGGCTGAGACTCCTGTGGAGGAGGAGATTCTGCTGGCTGTAATGGCCACCTTACTGGAGTGGCGCAACAGCAGAGAGGAGTGGTTCCTTTTTAACAGGTAAGTGTGGCTGCACCCAAAAATCCTGAAAGTTGCTGCATTTTCCTACTCGTCTTCCTCTCTTCCATGACCCGGAAACCGATTTTGCAATGCCTTCTTCTTGGCTGTTCAAATACTGAGGAAGATGAGAGAAGCCGCTTCAAGTGAAGGATTTATGAATGTTTGCTACCAGAGAGGGTTAGACAAACATGAAGGAGTCCATGTACTTTTAAATTGTGTGTTTTATTTATGTTTATATATTCTCGGTATTGTGTATTGTCTACCGATTGTAAAAAAAAAACGCGAAATGTGAATCAGTTGGCTCTGTGTAGCAACTGTGATTCGATACAGGGGTATGGGAGGCATGCTTTCAAGGGAACGTTGTAATAGATTCAGTTCATCAACTGTCAACATCAAATTTATGTTTGTTGAAAGGAATCAGCTATCCCCTTTCCCCAATTTCTGCACGTCCTCCTGCTCCCTTCCTCTGATCAATTCCTCTGCTTTCTTCCTGGGTGGGAGGGAAGCAGTAGGAAGGGAAGGGGAGGAGAGGAGCAGTGGCTTTTATTTCTAAACATGAAACATGGTCATAATGTGGCAGTAGTGTCATAAAGTATATGTAAAAAAAGAGGTTCATTCCAAAAAATGACATGTTTTAGTAGTTATGGATTTTTAAAGCAAGGCACACTGAAAGTATTTCATGTAATATTCTTAAAATGTATTCAAGCTCAGGGATTTATAAAGTTGTTTTGGGTGCCCCTGGTGAAATTACATGTTATGTTTATATGTATTTTTTTTAATCCATATACCTTGTAAAAAAATTAAACAAAACACTTAGAAGATAACAAAAATATGTAATTTGATCAGGGGAGTTCAAACATTTGCATACAGTTGTATACAGACCAATATTGTCAGTTTTCTGAATTTTTAGCCCTGTCAGAATTTTCATATTGCTCATGCTCCAATTTATAAACATACATATAGAGAGAGGTAATTGCATGGCAAAGCAGTGTGCCACTTGTTTAAAGCCCCAAGCCTGCGTTTGTCCGTCTACCTGTCTGTCCGTTCTCAGTGACCTGGGGAAAGCATCTGCTGCGGAGCTTGCTCTGCCTGTGGAGATGATGCGTTTCCTGTGCTGGCTGGTGGACCATTCTCCCACAGTTCTTGGCAGCACTCATTGGGACTTCCTCCTCTGCTCCATGCTGGCATGGCTAGAGGTGAGCTGTACTTTGTTAGTAATATGAGATAAAGGGTTTCATTGCAAAATGCATGATACCACTTTTAAAGGTTTTTTTTTTTTTTTGTTCCCCATAATGTTCATTGTTGGAAGTAGGTTTTTTATATACGTAACATCAGTGCTGTGATATGATTAATACCACTCCTAGCTTAGGCTGTTATTCTTTTCTAAAACTTGTTATGCCCAAAATTGTTACAATTTATATGCAGCATTTTGGCATGAAACTTTTCAAACATTTACAGGGTCACAGTAATTCTGAAATTCAGATTAAGAGAACTGAAGCAGTACTTGATCTATGCTGAAGTATTGTTTCTGTGTTTGTCTGAATGTATGTATATCTTATCTGTCTATAGACTGCCAGTGAGAGCAGTGGGGCCTTCTGGAATCCCTGGGTGCAGCAGTTTGTGTGTGCTAACTGTGAGCTGATTGTGAGACTCACTGAGTTCTTCACAACACCACCTGCTGGTGTGGCAGAGCAGCTGCCATCCGAGCTCAGCTCAGAGTGGCAGGAGTTTTTTGTGGAGGGAATCCACAATCTGCTGTTGCCTCTGCTAGTGAAGATTCCTGGTGGGTTGTGCTTTATTCATAATACCTTTGTTTCCTACCTTTTTGTGTCATATTCTCTGCTGTTCAGTTTTGGTCACATAGACCTTAATGACTGGCTCAGAACTATGTAGAGCTGCTGATGGTGCTAAATGCTTAAATTGTTGGAAATCCAGATAGCCACAATTTCTATGATGGATTGCTGAAAAAATAATGCTGTGTATGTTTTTGTCCTACTTAGCCTTAGATATGCCACTGATTACTTAAAACTTGTGGCTTATAAAAGTAAGATGCATAGTCTGTTCACAGCGAAGTTTTCTTAACTAAAGCATTAAAATTTCAATGCAAAGCTCTGTGTTAATGAATCATTGTCCACAGTTGAGTTCCCTGAGCCAGATGAGCCGCTGTTTCCGATGGCCGTGGTGGTCGCAGTGGGCGAGGCTCTCTCCTACATCCCCGTCCAGTTGCTTACGCACAATAAACTTCCAGCCCGGTTTGTGGCAGACCAGAAGAGCAGCCTGCCCGATGCCCTTCAAACTTTGCTGAACACTCTCGGCCCACTGCTGCTGTTCAAGGCCCGACCGCTGCAGCTAGCTGTCTATCACATACTGCACAAGTAAGACAGAGGCTTATTGCCGTGTGCCTGGTGGTGGGAGTTTCAAGCCAGAATAATAACATTCAGACAACAGGGGGAGGAGCTGTACTTCATGTTAACTGTTATTGTTGTTGATTTAAATGTATTCTTCGTATTTTCTCAGGATCATGCCTCTACTACCAGAAAGCGACTGTGAGAGTGCCACTGCCAAATCTGAAGATGAAGACGAGGAAGAGCCTTGCCTGTGAGACTGTGTTTTTTGTATCTATGATACAGTGATTTTTCAAAGGGAGTTCATCAATATTTTTGCCCACAGTTGTGAGCATGCTGCAGTGTTTGATAATAAAAACTAAAATCTTTTTGATGAATTTCAGTTGCTTGTGACTTTTGAAAGATTTGATTCTTATAAATGTAAAAATTCAAGGAACTCTTAGTGCACTTTAAGAGTTTATACAGCTGAAAATAAAGCATTAATCATGGTGCATGATGCAATGAGCAGCTGAACAACAGCAATCAGAAAAAGTAGACTTTAAAAGTAAAACTTGCTTGTATTCTGCTGTAGGTCCCCTCCAGCAGCGATAATGACTATTCTCACAGCGACAGAGGAGTTACTAGAGAATATTCTGGGTGGCGTACAGGTCGGAGAGTTTGCTGTGGTGCAGCCCCTCAGCATGGAGCACTGTTGCATCCTGGGATACCTGCTGGCCTGGAAACTCCTCCTCACCTTCTTTAAAGCGGCACCTTCTCAGGTATGGCACCTGTCAGGCCCGGCAACAGCCTGAACTCTATACTGTTTAAATTTATGTATGTACGTATGCCAATCCCAAAGTGAACTACTTAAGTGTTACAATCCTAGTAGCACAGACTGCAGACAGTGCTGCATTTGACAGAACTGGCTACTGGGCACCAGTTCCTGCACGCTTTACATTGTTATACATAGATTTAACAGTGCAGCATACTCCCCCCATCCCTAGTGTTGCTCAGTTTCAGAAAAACACTGTTTTTTCTACAGTATTGTTTGGTAAACAATACGTAAGACTTACTGTATACTAATGTGTGAAAATGAAAATCCTTTCTATGTTATCAACAGCATGCTGATGTTATCTTTCTGTAGACAAATAAAATTGTACATACTAATTTGACTTGAATGGACAGAGACATTAGCATAAGGTAAATGTGCAGGTGGAGGCAATATAATCAACAAGATAACTCAGTTGAATATTTTCAGATTCTTCTAACCAGTTGTTATTGGGTGTTCAGATAATGTGGCCACGGTATCTTTTTATTTTTTCATTTTTCATTAAAGTATTGGTATTGCTATCAAAGTCAAAATATTTGAGAATCTTTTTAGACATACGTCTACATGTTCAGGACTTCATGTTCATGTTTACTCATCATCTCATATTGGTATTATGGTTGTTGCAGCTGCGTGTCCAGTACTCCTTGTATTTACGGAAGACCCGTGCTCTGCATAAGCTGCTGCTACATCTTTTCCGGCTTATGCCAGAGAACCCGACACTGCCTGGGCAGCCCACAGAGATGGCCAGCAAAGAACCTAAAAGCTTCTTTACGGAGAGTCTGTCCCTCTCTCTGCACCGTGAGTACAAGCACTGCTGTCATGCAGTTCACTTCAGTTCACTTCAATTTTAGTGCAGTTCACTTATCCCAAAGGGAGTAACACATTAAACATAGCGTCATCAGATATGTTCCACAGCTGACATTTTGCAAGTCATTTAAGGCATACTTGCCAAGAGGCTCATTGCGTATGCGTACTTTTGTGTTTGCTTTTGTAACAGAAAAGGAAGGTTTGCAGTGTGAGGTTCTCCACCTGGCCTGCTCTGTGTACTATGGAGCTTTGAAAGACCTGCCTGCAATGGTTCGCTTATGGTGGAACAGTCAGGAGAAGCGCGTGTTCAGCATTGTGGATAAGTTTACCAGCAAATATGTCAGCAGTGTGCTGTCATCACAGGAGATCACCTCAGTGCAGTCCAGCACACAGACCTTCGAGAGTATGACGGTGAGCTGCCACAAGTCCTTTTTCATATTGTGTGACAAACTTAGTCAGGCAACTTGTGTTAAACTCTGGGTGGTGGTGCCAAGGCTTGTTCAGAATTGCAGACAAAGGAGTATTAAATAAAACATAACACCGGCAGCAGAACTGATTTTTTTTCTCTGTCTCCACACTCTGTTTAGTCAGTCAACTCATGTTAGAACTGGGTGCATGAATCCCTTTACACATGTCTTGATTTGATTGTTGATAGCCTTGCATTTGAATTTGAGTATAAACTGTGTGTCACTGTTGTTTTAAAAGTCTCTCTGTGATTGCTTTCTCATCATTTCAGTTTTATTTTCTGTATAGGGCTAATGTCTATGTCTGTGTTTTCAGGTAAAAGCGCGCTCTGCCACACGAGAGGTGATTGCGACCTACTCAGTGGACGATATCTTTATTGAGCTGGTAATCCAGCTGCCTCAGAACTACCCTCTGGGCTCCATCTCTGTGGAGAGTGGCCGCAGGGTTGGAGTAGCTGTGCAACAGTGGCGCAACTGGATGCTCCAGCTTAGCACATACCTTACACATCAGGTGGGATATAAAGTTCTTCAGTTAAAAGCACTGTTTAAAAAGTACACAAGGTATTAAAATTTATTGCATACCAAATAATGGCAATAAAATCCATCATGATATACCTTGTGTAAAATGCATTTTACGATCCATTAGGTTTAGTCAGTATCCCACTGCTAGTGTAGTTCACTGTTTATTAAAAATGGTGTATTTTTATCTCTTCTGTGTTACCAGGTACACTACACACAGGGCAGGTTTGTGAACACAGACTAAGCCTAGGGACTGGCTAAAAATGAGTCTCAACTGAGAATTCCTATTGATAGAGTAATTTATCTTCAGCTTTACCCTCAACTTCAACCTTCAAGCTGAGCCACTGCCAGAAAACCCCAGTCCTAAATGTTCTAAAGTGCAGTTCTCTGCCTCACACAGGATGTAGAGCAAACCAAATTTGCTAATTTTCTAATATTATGGGTGTTATTTTTCACTGCTCTGTTTTTATAGGAAACAACTGACTAATCTTACCGCCACAATTTCATATCTAGAATCTAATAAGACTTTTTCGCTAGCACTTTATTTGAAAGCTACTTACATTGGGACTTCATGGCACATGCATAAGAATTTAAAATAATGTATTTGTAAAGCAATATTCAGCTATTTATAAGCAGCATATGACTGTGGTCGCAAGATGACATGAGATGGTTTAGAAAGTAATTGACATTAAATCAACATAAGGGACCTTAAACTAAAGTGATGGGAGCTTGTTTCAATTATAATACTGTAATGAAGCAGCAGTAGTGGAACTACTAAGGCCATAGGTCTTGTTAACAACACCATGTGTCAGTCCTATATATTTCTACTGGAGTTGAAGTACAGGAGTGCACTTTCTGTTAAGGAGACCTGTGTGGCTGCAGCATGAACAGCTAAGTCTGTTTTTCAGGTCTGTAGCAACATGGGTCTCTTATCAAATTAAGATAACTCTACAATAGCTCAGTACTTTTACTTGTACTTTTCTACTCAATTGGACACACAGAGGACTACAAACCTGTGTAGGCAGCCTTCAAGTAAAGTGTTATCTACTCAGTATGGTTAAATGAGTTTAACTGAACTGGTGGTTACAAACTGAGCCCTCCTGATTTGAAGCATGTTTTTTTCAGTCTTGCCACAAGAGCATGCAATAAAACTGTGTGTGTTGTGTGTAGAATGGCAGCATTATGGAGGGTCTGTCTCTGTGGAAGAATAATGTGGACAAGCGTTTTGAGGGAGTGGAGGACTGCATGATCTGCTTTTCAGTCATCCATGGATCCAACTATTCACTGCCTAAGAAAGCCTGTCGCACTTGCAAGAAGAAATTCCACTCAGCTTGCCTGGTGAGCATCACTTGTCCACTGGATTTTATCTTCCAGATGTTTGGTTTATGTAAAATCTCAATATTTCCTGTTACAATTTTTTGAAAGTTCAGTTCACTGAACTTTATGGGATGGTTTCAGAAGTTTGTCTATGTGAATTCTTCATCTATCCTGTTATTTTTGTTTTTTCCTTCCAGTATAAATGGTTCACATCAAGCAACAAGTCCACATGCCCACTGTGCAGAGAGACCTTTTTCTAAATACCACCACCAAAAACAGGTGACTAAGCTGTGGACAATGATGAGAGACAAAACAAATAAGATGAAGAGCAAATCTCAGTTTGTAAGTTTGTACATATAATTTTGACTGAAGTCCTGTCAGTCATTGAAACCCATTCAAGTGACTGACCAGACACTGACTTTACCCGCCTGTTTCACAATCAAGAACAAGTTAGATGGTCACTGTTTAAGCCATCTTGTCACACCATTGATGGATAAAAATGCAAAAAGACTCTTAAGACTGTTGTCTTTCCTTTTTGAATCATGGACTGGAATGCTGCCTTGATTGCCTTCTCTAAACACTGTAAAAAATTTGACCCTCTAGAAGACCAGGAATCTGTTTGAGCAATGCAGAGAGACTGATGTGGGTTATCATGATTTATTTTTGTTTATGATGTTCTCAAAATTCACTTTGATACATGGTTGTATTGCTTAAAGGGCCCATATCATATATTTTTCTTGTGTTTTGTATTTTGAGGTTATAAAGTTGGTGCGGTTTTATGAACCAAAGACAGTTATAATTAGTTATCACATGACCTCTGTTTGTCCCTGAATTAAACAGGCTGTTTTTTTTTTTTACTGTGCCTTTATGTTGATGTACTTAAATGATCTCCGTTTTGAATGGCCCTTTATTATGCCTACTTAAAGAAAGTAATCCAGGCTGAAACACTCCTTACAACTTCAGCACGAATGGGTGGGGCTAAACTGGTGTAGGCTGAAAGGCAGATGTATTTAAATGCGTTGATTTTAATGCTTTCACAAATACAATAAAATTAAAATGGGCTGTTTTTGCAGTTTAGTTTGCATATGTAGATGGTATGGAGTGGGGAGTGAATGTTATATTTTGACACTTTACCGTTTACTAGGGCTGAACAATTTGGAGAAAATTGATAATTGCGTATAATTGTGACAGATTTAAATTGTGACTTTTCTTCAATAAATTTAGGTCTAATACGTTTTGGCCAAAAAGACGGTCATATTTCTTTTTTTTCTAGGCTGAGGCTTGAACGTTGAACATAGTGCGCCAGACTGCCAGTTACTTGTGGTTGTGTTGTCATGTACATAGTACTTGGGTGTTTGGTTGCTTCTAATTTGTCCAACTCCCCTTCTGGCAGTACCCAGGCTCCATGTTATTAGGTTAAATTTCCAGACAATGCTGTTGATAATGTAGGCTAGAATTAAGTTAGCTTCACAAAGCCAACTTACTGTTCTTTGTTTTATTATTTGATGGGATTTTCCTTTGGCACACAGTTTTCAATCTAGAAGCACGAAAGCCTTCTAGAGTCTATACTTTTGGGACTGTTTGCGTGTTCAGCTTTCATGCGGTGTTCATTCAAATACATTTCCTTTTTAGGAAATGAATGATGGAATGCTGAGAAAGTTAAAATCTAATTGCCACAAATGATGTCACAAAGGACATCGCTCGCACTGTCCTGTATAGAAATTACATACAGACATGCGTATTAGCACACATATATTCACACACCTTAGCAACCGGCTAGGATACCATAACAATGGCCTAGCTACACGTTAGCAACAACCTGGGGTTCCATAGTAGTGGCCTAGCAACACCTAACCACCTGGAATAACGCAACAACGGCCTAGCAACACCACAGTAACCACCTGTACCATAGCAAAGGCCTAGCAACACCTTAGCAACCACCAGGAATACCATAGCAACAGCTTAGAAACATCTTAGTAACCGTCTGGAGTTTCATAGCAATGGTTTTGCCAAGCCAACTTAAAGTTTGTCCACAAACTTTACCCTTCTAGCTAAAATGGTGTCTCTTGCCATTTTAAAATTGTACTCTTTCAAATTTCGGTATTGGTGTACAAGTGAGCTTTAATGTTTACATACTACATCAAACTCATTTTAAAAAAGCAGGAAAAAGGCTGTTTCCCATGATATGAGCCCTTTAATGCCAAGGTGTTTATTTGTTTATCATAGCTATGATGACGGGATGAAAGGAACGAGGTGTCAGTCACAGCATCCACTCTGCTAAGTAACCTATACTGTCATTCATAAAGGGAACATTTCTGTATTGTCAAATCTCCGCACAAGTTTTGACTGAAATATGCCTGTGTGTCAGAATGAATTGTTTTTGATACACTGGGGACCAGTGCAGAACTGAGAAGCCTCATTTTTGTTTCTAATTTCTGTTCACACATTGTTAAATTATGAGTTTGTAGTCACTTATGTAGATGAGCCATTTTTGCCAGTGTACAGGCTCCTAAAACAAAGATGCAAAAAACATCTGAGTCTGAAATACAGACGTTTATTTTGCTTTTATCTTCATACTTTGTGTTTCTCTCCATTAACAAATATGGTTTCAGTCTCTCTCATAAACACACACTTATGCTCGCTTGTGTTTTCTGAACGTGTGTGTGTGAGTGATATATGGGACTTAAAACCATGTTTTATTTTCTCACGGTGTGGGTTTATGGTTCCAAAGTTCAGAAGGTTACATGGCTCCTCACTCACAATCAGGCACCAAGGGACTCTTCACACCAGGGAACAGTGAAAGAAGAGAAGCATATGCGATCAAAGCACAGCTAAACAGCTGAAGCACTGCTCCACAGTAAATATTTGATAGAGCTTGTCATTGAAGAACATTGAGTGCTGGGATGGTTCATTCATGTTCCTTATTTGGTTACATGCCAGGTGAATGGCTCTTTGGGTCAAGGGACGCTTGTAGAGCTGACCACAGGGATGTACAGTTGTATGCGAAATTTGAATTCCCCTGGTCAAATGACATGTTTTGTAGATTTTTTTAGTGAAGATAAGTTAACATATCCTCTACAAGGTAAAACTTAAATATGGGACTTGCCAATAGTAATGCACAATTTCCGTTTATTTGCTGAGTTTAACATATTGGGAAAAATAAGATACACAGGATAAAATGTGCACTAAAATATCCTGAAGTGTGTTCTCTGTAGAGAATATGTAGAAAACCAAATAAGAATTTTACTAGACCACCCAAACTGTATTTTTAAGGATGTGTAATTATTTTGGTGTCATCACTAGATTAGATTTTACCTTTGATTACTGTCTAATTAAAGTTGTAGAATGTGTCTAATGCTGTGGATAAGTTGCCATCTCAGAAGAGATATGCAATAGCCTTCAATTAGTTATTACAATGTAAGAAGTGCTATTTACATTGTTTTAAAATTGCAATAATAATTTTTAATTACATCACAATATAAATGTGCTAATTACATAATAAAAGTACAAAAGTGTTTACGTACCTAAATACGTACGTATTGTAATAACAATGTAATAGGTGCTAATTACACACATCTTTATATTTGGCAAACAAGGCAAAAGTGCTCAATCCTGGTCTTAGAGATCTACCACCCTGCAGAGTTTAGCTCCAACCCTTAACTAACACACTGGATCCTAATCTGAACATTAGAGCCTGGTGTGTTGGACCAGAATCTCCAATGTGGTAGATCTTCAGGACCAGGATGTTGTCATAGACAGAAAAGACATATTTATGTAGGGCAGCCACTTCTTAATCGACATCACCTCATTGCTACAGTTGCATGTAATTACAGTGATTGTACATGTTTAAGCAGCCTATCAACCACTGTATCAAGAACTAATCTCAGTAAGAGAAAAGCTTATTTCTCTTTCCCTCACATCATCTCTTGTTCTGTTCCAGGTACTATCTGCAGCTAGGCCTGTGTGACGGACAGAAGGGGTCCCATGGAGCGCAGGCGACAGTTATTTACAGTAGCATAAAGCCGAGAGTTAATACAGAGGCACTGAGAGTGGAGAGATTTAAAGCTCACAGAGAGATTTTTGCCTTCTTATCTATGATCAAAATCAATAGCGGTAAAGACTACAGTGAGCGTCGAGGAAACCGGATTGTCAGAAGGCAGAGAATGTATTACATAGAGGAAATGTATTCATCCTCCCTCCACCACAGCTATGCCATCGACTTCACAGTTAATGGTGTGTCGGAAGGGAAGTCAGCAGAAAGAAAAGAGGATGAATAGACAGTTGTAGGTGAGTGAGAAGGAGGGAGAGAGAAAGAAGGAGAAGACGCAGTGTCTGGTATTTGTTGAGAAAGTTTTGAGTTCCCCCAGACGGCGCTCTGTCATAAAAAACTTTATTTCCTCTTGAGGCTTTTATCAAGTTTAATCTGCCTGGAATGCCAATAGCAATTTCCAACTTACTGGAAAAAGCCTAACCCAGTTGCCATTGGTTCTTGGAAAACTCCCAATTAAGCAAGTGCTATGGGCGCCAAATGGCCGTTACTGGGTTACCTGGACCTAGGTCTCTTTCATTATTGTTTCAGTCATTTGTTTGTAGAGTGGAAGCTTTGTTTTCATTTATTGCTTGTTTGGAAGTGGTAAGACAGTTGAACATGACAGATTCAGCAGTGAGGCTGAACAGACATAGCTCTGAGAATGCTTAAAACAGAGGTCAGTCTTAACAATCATTGTTTAGTTATTGCATTTGTCACTTATCAACTGTCACTGTCTCTTTTTTATAGTGTGTACCAGGTGATAAAACAGCCCAGGAAGTACTGAAGTAATGAATTGTAAACCCTAGATGGCAGCATTTCATTGTATCTTTCTTCTCAGGTCAGTCTGGATTCTTCAATATAGGAGCAGTGAGTGAGTCCACCGTGTGGTTCAGTACAGTTTTATTGTTTTCAGTCAGTGTCGAATGATTAAAAATAGGCTTCTATGTGTGTGTCCAGTGTTTCTGGATGTTCTTGGCTGATAAAATGGTATCTTTTATGCTGAATCAGGTTTTAGTTAAAGACTGACCCCAAGGTGGATAATGTTACCCTCCATTAGATTGTAGAATGACTCACTTAAAATGAGAAGCCACAAAGGTCTGGTCTAAGTCACCCCCCTGCTTCTGTCTCTGGAAATTGTTCTAATCTTAATCCAATCAGTATTCTCTTAACCATCTAGGTGTAAGCACGAGCAGGGCAGGGGCTGCATGTTCAATTTGCTGCCGAGAGGACTGCACGTGGGCCTAGTTAATATTCAGTCCATCCTGACCCATTTGAGATGTGCTGCTCTTCGGCATGTAGTCACGCTCCAGCTCCGCGCTGTAGGCTACTGTTCTGCTCTCTAAATAGCAGCGTGTCCATGCTATTCCACCGACACAATGAAAACCAGGCCAGCTGTTCCTCCTCTTTTCAGCCTCTCTCTCGCACTCTCTCTCTGCTTCTCATTATCGCCATTAAAGTAGCCAATTTGCATGAGCACCGGTTCGGCTGACCCCTAGCAGCGCCAAAGCTCTGCTGTGTTGTTGCTTTCATCTTCCGCAATCTCACCTCCTGGCTACGTGTGGAAATGTCCTTGTTTGATGAGGAGGTCACCGCTCCTCTCCCTCGCAGTCTTC